CGCCCAGCCATCATCATCATCATCATCATCATCATCATCATCATCATCATCATCTGATTCTGCTGATATTTTGGCAAGGTGTCAGCCAGGCCATGCATTATAGAGCTAAAAGATGCCTCTTCTGACCCATAGCAATTTGAGTTTCCATCAAGAATTACATTTTTAATTAATCAAGATTTAACTGTAAAATCCTGAGTGGGGCAAAATGATAAGGACACTATTAGATATTTATTTATTATATAGTTAAGTCTTTGAATAAACTACCAGCGTAACCAATCCAAAGAGAAATTGCTCATTGTGTAATACTGTAAACCAAGCTTTGAGTATTGCAAAGAATACTTGTTTTTCAGATGTGCAGGAGATCCATTATAGTGCACGGGTCTCTTCTTGTGTAACAGGAAACTAGGCTAGGGTCTCTAGAGGCTTTATCAAAGTAATAATTTCTGGTCAAAGTAGGTGAATCCTGATTCTAATACACAGAAATACATTTAAAGGAATTTCACCATGTGGCTTATTGATACATTTCAACATTACAATATCTTGTAGTCTATAGCTCCATTATGTCATACCCACAGCTATCCCAAACATGCTAGCACCACACTCAGATCTTGCCCTGACTTAATTCCAAAATATATATCTGAGATAAATTAACAGCACTAAATGAGCATTGAAATACGAGGCTTAATTATTCCTAAACCCATCAGCAGGTGGAGGTATTGCTTTAAGTCTGCCATTCAACTGACAGCCATTCTGATAGCTTCAGCTACTCTAAGACAAAAATAAATAACAACCTAAAACTTTATTTTTGGCACGCATGGAAGTTATGCATGCCTTGTATTTGAAATCTCTTTTCCTTTACCTTTTTCACAACAGGCACTGCAAGAAAACATGTGACAACAGCTGGAGTGTCTATGCCTTTCTGTGGAACCTTCAGAGGACACATTCCTTGTAAACTGTATATATAAATCTTCTGGTCCTGTATGAGATCAAAAGAAAGCGAAGTTCCAATAGTAATGGTGTTTAAGCTATCACTTTTCCTAGAATCAAAACATGGAGTAACAGTTTGCAAGAAGGAAGAGTTATGTACAGTATCTAAATATTGACAAAATCAAAATTTTAATGTGTACCCATTTCTTAAATTGCACTGAATATAATTTTAGGGAAATAACTCTTCCAGCACTTAGAATCTCTTAACAAGTCAGTGTTAAATAGAAAATATCAGCACTGATTAATGTAAAGAGGTCATTTTAAACTGTGAAAAGAATCACGTAGCATTCCACCTTACCCTCTTTAAAAATGATTTTCTGCAATTAGAATCAACAAATAGCACTGTGATGGGGAAACACAGCAAATGGGATGGTGTCAGGATGGGCTTTAGCATTCCACAGAGGAGGAAGGACATTGATACAATAAAAAGTCATCTGGAAACACCAAGAGAAGTCGCCATTTTTTTTCCCCTTTACCATCTCTTGTTTAGAAGAGAATGCGGGGAGAAAAGCAGCCTTGAACGTTGAGCTTCGTATCTGAAACTTCTGTTGGCCTACAGTACATTCAATCGTATTGTCTGACCAACCCGAGAAACAGGTTAGCAAGTTTCATGGCCGAAGCAATCCAAGCCTTCTGACAGAGAAGAAAAGAGTTCAAATCCAGGACGCTTGGGATAAGACATACCTCTGTTGCAGTCCATAGAGAATTCTGAAATTTCAGCTGGCAGCATAGCTTCATTCCTGGACAACTCATTTTGGCAACCTCTATGAATCCTTTCTCTGTATTTACTACAGTGTAGTTCCTAAAACCAGGAAGGGGAATTCAGTCAAAAGGCAGCATCAACTGCAGGCTAGTATCAGTGAGCGGCAAAGAAGAATCTCAACCGTGTGTGGGTTTGGATCTTTTTCCTAATAAAAAGGTCTCGTCATAGTTTATTTATTTATCAGATTTCTACCCTGCCTTTTCTCCCAGGAGATGACATAGGATTCTCTCCTCTCATTTTTCCATGCATCATTTCTATGAGGTAGGTTGTGCTGAAATAAGAATAAATGGCCCAGTGAACTTTCATGGCTGAGGGTGGTCTTAAACTTGGTTCTCCCCATCCTTAGTCCAACACCTTAACCACCATGCCACACCAGCCCCTATAGTTGCCATTAAGTTCTTAGTATTCCTCCTCCTGATATAAGAACACAATTCCCTCACTTTGGAGAGAAGAGGGAGGACATGTAATTTAACAAGCTAATTGTGGATAATGTGGTGCAGTGGTGAAATTTTCAGAGTAGAACCAGAATGATCCAAGTTCAAACCTGTCATTTAAGCCACTGAAACTGTGGGTCAGGCACTTGCTCAGCTTAATTTACCTTACAGGATGGTTCTGAGGAGAAAATAGGATCTGAGTTCGGACAAGGTGTGGGTTCCTTATGTGAGGGATTTTACAGATTTTTAATATAGGTTTATTCCACTGGTATGACCATCTTTCTGTTTATGTTTGCTGCTCTATGCTTTTATATGTAATTCTGTACACCGCCCAGTGTTGTCCATGAGTTGGACAGCCTTAAAAATGTGAATTATAACAAAACAGCAAACAAAGGAGAAGAACCATATATACCGTTCTGAAAAAAAAACCCTACATTTTACTGGCAAACGATATCATCTTGGCTGGCCAGTGCACTGAATGATATTGAATTGTTGAATGAGATGAGACAATTTACTATGTCTGTTTTGTGTTTCCTTCAAAAAGCAGCATGGGGGACTTCTGGATGAGTATGGCGAACTGAAGATGGCTCTGAGAAAGTGGAGCTGACACCTGTGGCAAAGACCAAGGAACTAGTGAGTATATGCTCACATGTGCTCTGGATAGCTGCTCCTTGCGAGGAGACCACAGGATAGGAGTTTTCCACAGGTTTGAGGGAGATGATGGGATTAGCCATCTTGCCTGCAACCATGCTGAAGACTTTTAAAGGACACTAAGCTTGCAAAGTTTACTTTCTAATCACTTTTGGAAATTGTCTATTAACCACTTTAAACCTATTAGAGACCTTCAGAATGACAAGTTTGAAAAGTCTTCATCAGGTGAGTTCAACTCTGAACAAAAGAAAAATTAATTATAAGCTTAAGAATTTAAAGAATCTGAAATAAACAGCAAAAAAGCTAAA